AAAAAAAAAAAAAAAAAAAAACAGTTTAAATAGTCCATCAAACTAAACTCTGGCACAATTTAGAAAAAGGTTTGACAAAGATATGTTCTTAATTACCCCACTGTTGCACATCCCCATAATGAAATATGTAGCCTGCACAATGTGTTGGACAACTAATGACACCATGTTATAGATATAAATCATAAAATCATAAATAATACCATCTACCAATTTGCTTAAATATTATATTAATTAAACAGTTGTGATTAAAACCTTCATGTTGTTAAAAAATCTGGTGGTTTTGTTGTTATGAATGAGAGACTGTTGAATTACAAGTCCTTGGAAGGTCAGAGGTCCCAAGTTGATAATAGAAAATATGTACCCAGTCTAAGTATACATCAGGATTACCGATGAGCATCTGAAGCTCAAAATATATACTGCCTAGCTAACAGATCTAATATGGAATATTCATGATCTTTTTTTTATCACCAGATACCGCTAAGAGCTGCCAGGTAAAATTTTATGGGTATTGAAATGTATGTATAAGCCTGGTAGCTTTAAAGTTTTGATATAGTGTTATGAAATGGAATTCATTAATGAGGAATTGAAAGAGTTGTTGTTCAGTGATGTATTTAATGCTTACAGGATTACCAACCATCATGCACATACTGTTTTTTTTAACACAAAAATATCCTACCGTACTCTATATTTTTAAAATATTATAAACTTGGAAATATTCTTAATGGTATAGATGTCAGTGTTGACATTCAGTTTGTTCTTTGCAGGCAGTTCTGGGTATATTATCATATTTCAATATTAAAATATTAATACATGCTATAAAATGACAATGATGGTGGAATCATTGGCAGCTTGTTACATTTGCTGTGGTATGATTTATACTTCTACTCCAGCAGACATCAAATAGGATAAACCAAAATAGGCTTCCAGACTGTGTAATTATGGTTTAATGTCAGATAATTCTGATTAGTTTTCTCACCTGACTATCTGTGTGATAGGAAGAAAAATGCTAAAATATTGCCACAACTTTGATAGGTTAAAATGCTAATTCTGGATTTATATCTGCACAAGAAAAGGTGTCATGACAGACTTGTTTGCTCTGTGAAATTTATAGATTGGGGAAAACTGAAATGATATAATTTTTAATGTAATATTACTTGCCAGATAGATAAATCTAATTACAGTGAAGGTTTGTGTATCACATTTACATCTAAATGAAATTATTAAGGGAAAAAGATGGCTTTTAGATATGGTTGTCTCAGCATGTGCATGCTGTAGAGAATACCACACAGGAAGAAAGTGAAAAGTGAAAGTGTTGATTCACATATTAAAAGATATTATTTACCTTCAGAATTTATGTTGTATATTTTACCTACTTCAAATCTGGATGTGTAACTTACATCAAGATAAAAAAAATTGCATCAGCAGTGTCATGTACTAAGAATGAAGCACCAATTTTTTCTTCAGCCAACAGAAACTATAAAAATTGTTCTTTACTACCACTATTTTGATTTCTGATGCTATATATAAACAAAGATAAACATTGAAATATTAGTCTGAGATTAACTGCAGTTTTAACACTTACATTAACAGTTTAACTGTTGATGGGAAAATTATCGCTTTATGCATCAGGGTATTTATTGTATGTAATTGAGATGCTCCATCTCTTAACATTTTCCATATTTCTTCATTTGGCAATTTTAAGATACTCAACTTCTCCAAAATTCTGTTTTCTTACATTCCAGTTTTTAAAGAAGGGAGAGACAACCTGTTTAATATGTTACAAAGGTTAATTTCCCTTTTTGCATATATTTCATGAAGGGACAACATAACATATATTTTCTGGCATTTCAAAGCACCCAAACAAAGTATCAAAAGATGACAATGAGCATTGGTTCCATTTGATTGTACAACTGATAACAGGTAATTTTCTCATCTAAATATTTGACTAAAAAGCTTGTTAACCAGCCTGTGAATGTTTTTGGCCGTTAAAACAGCTTTCCAGATTGATGAGATAAGTGAGCCAGCTTCAGGTATATGTCCCTATCTTAGCAACCGATCGCTATGAAAATTACACTAATTGTTGTGAATTATGTGGACTACAGATAGATATCAGGGATTCTGGAGGAAATTGTTTGTTGGAAAGTTATCATCTTTTAAAGTGAATAACCAATTGAAATGTGGGGTAATTTAACTTAAAAGTCGATGAAATAAAAAAGAAATAGTTTAAGTGAATTCCCTGGTATCCTTCAGTAGTGATTTTACCCAGCTTTATGATGCCATTTGAATTAATAGCTATCTTGGTTATAGAGAAAATTCCAAAACTGAAAACAGTATTTTTTCCCCAAAAAATGTCAGTACAGCGTCACCCGTTGGGCACTGCAAATAATCTCTATATTTCATTTGTCTTTTGGAAAGTATGTTTTATTTTTAAAAAAAACATATAATAACAGGATATTGTTAATATGATTTTATCCATTAAATTTTTAAAAAGTATTAATTTCTGTCATTTGCAGAGGAAACTGTCCCTCTTCTCAAGCCAACTACTTACTTTGTTTACTGTGACATTTTTCCTGCTCCACTCTCAAAATGACAGTCTTGGAGTTTTCTTGGTTGTTTTAATGTCCATGTTTCCTGTTCTCTCTCCTGCACTGTGTCCTGACTGTGCTGCTACAGTTTCAGTCCCTGTGTTTCTACGTGGTACGATACGAGACAGTCACAGAAAGCTGTTATCTCACTGGAAGAGCTTATTAATGAACATCATGTGACCAGACCACACAGCGTTATTATAGGCTCTCATAGCTCACTAGATGCCACTTGTCTCTCATAAAACATGTTTTCAAGTCTTCCTCTGCAGCTGGGTAGATGAGTTATGTAGTATTAGCCTCAGGATAGGATTTATATACTTCACTATGACTGTAGGCAAGTTTTTATCTTCTTGTGTATGTATGTTATATAATTAAAATACTGCCTGTCCCCTGATTGTTGGTGAAGATTTACATATCTCTGGGTCTTTGATGAATATATTAATATTAAAGACATGCAGAGATATTCTGATTTAAGCAAAGGAGGAAATTGATTAATATCAGAGGTTTGTTTAATATGTAAAAAAAAAAATGGAGAAAAAGAATGATTTGTGAAGAGTTTACATTAAAATGCATCATGTTTGTACTGTGTACTAAACTATTATGATAATAAGACTAAAAATGCATAGGCAGTTACTTTGATCTTTTCTCTGATTAAGTTAAACACTGATACTAACATCAATGATAGCATTAGGGAGGCATATATTTCTTTTCTCTTTTTTTTAGTAGTATTACCTTTATGTTATTGTAATTCTCCAAACTTTATGAGTGTCTTTGGGATTAAATCAGTTTCAGAGCATTTTTACATTAAATAGATAGATTTTAACATTTCAAGGTATTAAAAAATAAATAAAGCATTAAATACAGCAATGGTTTAGACTTTGCTTGAATCAATAATTAATGGATTTATTTATTTATTTATTTATTTATTTATTTATGTGAATTGAATTAAGAATTCTTCTTTTGAAAATTTTTATAATATTTTAATAATGTCACTGCATTTGTTACAGTGATGAAAATTGTCAAACTGCATATATATTAAATGCATACATATTCAAATACATAGCATACATATACCAGTGTATTTCAGTAGGCCTGAATTTCAACTCTCTTTTCAACTAGAAATGGTTTGTTTTATTTGCTATAATGAAAACTGCCCTCATGGCACATTGAAATAGCTGCCTAGTTTGTAATCTTTTCTGGAATCAAAGTTGGTAAATGTCAGTATGTTCCAGTGTTAGGGGTGGTATTATTGGTGTTACAGTCGTCTTTTATCAATCTCCACATGACTAACTTCCTTTAACACCCGTGATTAAAACTGCAGAGACAGTATTAACACAGTCTTCATTAATGTGAGTGAAATAGGGAGAAAAACAATAGAACAGAATCAGTGTCTATGTACTGTAGGAGAAAGAAAGTGAAGAAAAAGTTTGTGAACCTTTGGAAGAATGGTTTGATTGTTCACATAACATTTTGCTACTGTTTGTTCAATGTTAGTAGACTTCCCTTGAGAAAATGTCTGTTGTCTTTGATTCTTTCCTTCTCTATTGATTTTACCTATTGGACATTGAGGAGGTAATCCCAAGTGACCTGCCTCACTGTTGCAAAGGGAGACAGAATTCATGCTGCATTTGTTTTAGTGTATGGCATTTAATGGCTTTTGATTTCATTTTTATTGCTATTTGTGCACAGGATAGATGAGATAGATGGAGTAGTAAAATGTAGCTCAGTGTCTGCCAGATAGTACACACAATGGTGGAACAGTGTGTGTGTGAATAAGGAAGGGAAGGGGAGGAATGATTAATATAAATGAGAACTAAAACAAAAATTAATAGTTTTGTATTGAAATTTTTAGTGAGTTTGCAGACAGAAAATATTTATTCACAGCCTACTGCTGCATTTGCCTTTTAAATCATGACATTGATTTTTGACTTGTTTTGGAAAAAAGCATAAAATATTCATGGAGTTTATTGTATGTTTTCAGGGCGGTGGGATGCATACTTGGAGAGCTGCTGAATAACTCACCACTTTTTCCAGTAAGACTTACATCATGCTCTCTCTCACTCTTTCTCTCTCTCATTTCCATAGTATCTTTCAAATAAAAGGGAATGTCACATGTAGATATGAATAGACATATTGATTAAGAATTCTTTTATGTTGTACATTTAAGTCTCTTTTTATTTTCTTTATCAAGTCCTTTTCGTGGAAGCTCATGCTATGGAGAGATGATCGCAGTAAATTTGGGTTTCATCAGACAAATTTACCTTTACTTGTTGACATCATTGAAAATCACTGAGAACTATCTCAAAATTTTAATCACAAAAGACAAATTTATTTTGATAAATTTTACACTTAATACAATAATTGATATGTATTAAAATAATTATGATCACTATTTCCAGGGGGAGAATGACATAGAACAGTTGTGTTGTGTGTTGAGAGTGTTAGGAACACCAACTGAAGCTACCTGGCCAGTGAGTAGAAATATTATTATATTACAATACTGAAGCTACCTGGCCAGTGAGTAGAAATATTATTATATTACAATACTGAAGCTACCTGGCCAGTGAGTAGAAATATTATTATATTACAATACTGAAGCTACCTGGCCAGTGAGTAGAAATATTATTATATTACAATACTGAAGCTACCTGGCCAGTGAGTAGAAATATTATTATATTACAATACTGAAGCTACCTGGCCAGTGAGTAGAAATATTATTATATTACAATACTGAAGCTACCTGGCCAGTGAGTAGAAATATTATTATATTACAATACTGAAGCTACCTGGCCAGTGAGTAGAAATATTATTATATTACAATACTGAAGCTACCTGGCCAGTGAGTAGAAATATTATTATATTACAATACTGAAGCTACCTGGCCAGTGAGTAGAAATATTATTATATTACAATACTGAAGCTACCTGGCCAGTGAGTAGAAATATTATTATATTACAATACTGAAGCTACCTGGCCAGTGAGTAGAAATATTATTATATTACAATACTGAAGCTACCTGGCCAGTGAGTAGAAATATTATTATATTACAATACTGAAGCTACCTGGCCAGTGAGTAGAAATATTATTATATTACAATACTGAAGCTACCTGGCCAGTGAGTAGAAATATTATTATATTACAATACTGAAGCTACCTGGCCAGTGAGTAGAAATATTATTATATTACAATACTGAAGCTACCTGGCCAGTGAGTAGAAATATTATTATATTACAATACTGAAGCTACCTGGCCAGTGAGTAG